CCCCCCCCCCCCCCCCTCTCCCCCCCCACAACCAACGTGCTTGCTGGCGTCCCCTCCGACAGGTGTGGTGCGAGATGGCAAAGGGCGACCTGCTGGCCTTCCACGGGGGTCAGCCGTTCAGCAGCCCGGACGACTTCCGACGCCAGCTCCGGACCAAGGCCGTGGACATCTCTGTATGCTCCAACTCCGGCGCGTAGTCCTTGACCGGTCAAGAACAAAAAAACACAACCCGTTCATTTTTGCAGGCGGGGAGGAGGCTGCGAGGGCCTCGAGCCCGCGTGCGCCTTTGATGCTGGAGGAGTTTTATTGCTGTGGGGATGGGTGGTGATGGTGTCTCCAACGCGGGAGGGCCGTGTTTTGCGCCGGGCGAGCAGCGAGCATCCTCGATGACGAGGATAATGGCGGCTTCCGGTTGATTGCTTATGTGTTGAGCATGGCTATACTACGGACAGAGTGGAGGTATGTGTCTACGTTTCCGTCTTATGGTATCAAATGCCGGCCGGCGCATACAGTTTCCACGCGATTTAGCCACTAGCAGCGCATGTCACACTTTTCTTTGTCACGGGGAAGGCGTTTCGTTTCCTTAATATTTTCTTTCACGATTACTCGGTACATACATAGAACACATCGCGCCTATTGCGTATGCCGTTCCCCAGATTGAGGGGAGAGAGAGCCCTCTGCAGGGTCAGCATGGATATAGTTGTTTCGTCTCCTCGAAAACGGGTGGCGTTCCACCCCTGTTGGAGTCTTTCCATCCACTTTCTTACGACCCCAAAAGTGTAGTAATCAAGCACGAACGTACCTCGTGTGTAACTACCTGCAATCGTATGTTTAGGTGTATCTCCCCTGTCTCATTCGGCAGTGACTGCCATGTGGGCCCAAACGTATTAGGTGGTGTTCGTTGTCTCTAGAGTTTTACGATGTTTTTCACGGCATCAACAGCAGCAGCACCTCCTGTCCGATGTTGTTGTCGTCACACGGGCCCTGTCCATCACCTTCCGCACTCGTCACGGGGGGCGGGAAGGGGAGGCAGGGACGGCGCCAGTATCCGCAAACGGGGTGGTTATATTTGAAGGGATACATGGAGAGGCCCACCGGCGAGACAGACCTCTCTCTGTGGTATGCATTGCCGAGTGGTTGTTTGTCGTTTGGCTGTATGTAACACGGTTCTGGTGGCCGAGATATGGCGCCCGTTGAGAACCGGTCGTCTCCCAGGGGCCGTCGTTCGTTCCGCCGTTTAAGGGTGGCTTACTTTCTAGGGTGGTGGCAAACCGGGACGTCGCCGTCATCTACTCGATCGACTGTCCTTGGGTCATGCTTGCTACCTGTGCGTGTCTCGTCATGTCGTTTTTTCGTGCTGGTTCTTTTTGCTTTTCTTTTCCCAAATAGATATTTGGCGTCCTGTGGCTTGTTTTTTCGGTGTTCGGGTTGCTTCGTTTGGAGAACTTCGTCGTCGTAGGGGTCTACGTGGATGGCCGTGTGAGTCGTCGTCCAGCAGGCTGCGACGGTTTTGATTTCGCACGCGGCACGTTTTTCTCCATGCACTAGATAGACCTGGACGACCTTGCAACGCTCGTATACGTGCGGGTTTTTATTTTTCCTCTGTAAAACGAGTATGGCTTTAGATAGTCAACTCAAAAAGTAAACATTTTTCGGTAATACAGAGACCGTTGTAGTGGTATTCGGGCTGTATCCGAATGGCCCTTATATTGCCGAACAGAATGGCACATGATGGCATCAGGGAGAAAAAAAAACAGCACAAAGGGAGGGGGGAATGCTCGTAGCTGTAGAGGATACGGTCGTACCGTGGGGGGAAGTGAGAGGTGAAGGAGGACACAGATAGGCACCGAGCGAAGCGAAGACAGAGCAAGCGACAGCAGTAGGCGGATAGACAGAGACGCGGCAAACGGGGCCGGGAGTACGTATAGGAAGCAGATGCTTAGGGGGAGGGGGGCGGGGGGGGGGG